TCTTTTCCGCCTGCCATCACCCTCACATCCGACCTTTTTGAAGGTTAAGGCCTTAATTTCAGCGATCCCAAAGATTTCTCTAGCTTTCCTTTCCACTTTCAGGCCGTCCGCAGCTCAGTCATCACTACGAAGCGCTCTTATCACCAGTTTTATCCCGGGGCTTGCCTTTGAAAGTCACACTGCACGCTGACCGTATGAGTGGGCTTTGCACCGTCCAACGGGACTCTCAATGGTTGCTTTTGTCTCTTTACCATACTTTAGTGTATCTTGACATACCAAAAAACTGATCAGTGGGATTTTCAAACCCTGCCATGCGATCGGAGCGCAGCTTTTCAAGGTTATTAGCAATTTTCTCTTCTGTTCCAGCACTGTTGGACCATTCAGCAAAACTCACTCTACTTCCGAACGCTACAACATATACCACTCGCGGAACAAGCCGAGTTTCCGTGCGATTCCATGGAGAGGAGCCAAAGCGCTTGGAGGCCATTGCAGTGATATCCATTTTATCACAAGGATAGAACGTCGCCAGATCATCCGCATAGTGACTTATGACGCAGATTTCTCAGACATAGTGTAGAAAGAAAATTAAACGTATACAAACGTACATCCTTTTGAACATTTACATAGAAACTGGCGAATTCCTTCCAACGTCAATTCTTCTTTTTTCACAAGAATTCTGATCGGATTTCTCATAAAGCACTTCGGTAACGTCAAGGACATCAGATGGCATTGTCGCCGACAGTAAAATCACCTGACACACGTGTTGTTTTTGTAGGTGTCCACGAATTTGTTAGCTTTCTAAAGTCTATAACAGTTGTGGGTGTGTAAGCAGGAGGGAGTGGGGGTGGTAACATCAACCTCTCCATTTTATTCCCGAAACTCTCTACAATACAAGTCCGAGCCGTGCAATTCACGAATGGTTTCAATACGCAAAATTGACTCTCTTAAAATGCATGAAAATTTTAGGATAATTAGGCGCTATCGCAATATACGGGGGCATTGTGGTGGCAGTGCATTAGAAACAAAGCGTAAAACATTTCAATGTTGTTAAAATCGGGACTAAGCCTTAGGCGGAAGGTTAGAGACACCAGAACGCATGAGCAGTTCTCATTTCCCCCGATTTCCTGCCCCTTCTAAGGCTTAGTCCTGAAGTATGCCCCCGTATAATGTGATAGCGCCGATAATTTATACCAGCTAATGCCTTCGTCGCCGCAAAGGAGAACACAACAAAAAGCATCCGAGGGTCACCAGCGTAGTGTCTTAATGGCTAAGACCTGCTGCAAATGGACAGTGAGCAGGATACTTTTGCGAAGATGTCTTATTGCCCCCATCTGTTCAAGTAAGGGCTCACAAAAGCGCTGTTGGGCAGCCCGCAGACTCTGCGAGCCGCGCGATGGCGCTCGAGGTTCCGGAGCACGTGAAAATCACGGGAGCTGTACGTGAACGCGATCGCGGCCCGCAAGTCGCTAGTGCAATCGCGCGAATCGCAGAGTCTGACAGCTGCCTAACATGTCTAGCCGCTGCAACAAATCCGAGTTGGAAGGAGTACCTGCACATCTTGTGGCATTGTTTTGAACACTTCATAGATTTGATTTTTAAAACCTCTAGAAAGCATCTCATCGGCTTCGTCCAATACGAACATCTTGATAGCATCCGTCACTGAAGCAGATGACTTTTTGGTCAAAATCTTCTCTAATCCTTCCCGCAACGAGTTACATGCGTTTTTCAATCAGACTCGCGGAGATAATTTGGTGAAATATTCTTTTTAAAAAAAAAACACGATAGACTAGTATGGCGGTGATGACTGAACGTGCATGGCACCAGCATGCTACACTTATTTCGTGGACCGGCTCCCACAATCTGCACGAAAGATATACCTTCCGCCTGACTAAGCTGCGCGTGGGTTCAGCAAGCCGCGCTGTCTGAGGCGTAGTGGGGGCTATGTTGTCCTTATGTGACACCTGACCGTAGCGAGCTTCACTCTGCTTCCGGCCATCTCTATGCACTCTCGCTTCACTCGGTCGTCTGCGCCCTCTCCAACTCGCCCCCACCACCCGATGTTTACTTCAGCGCAAACCTTCGACACAGCTATCAAAAGCGAGAAAAAGGCCTTACCGTTTTAGCGGCAGCATGCATCAGTTCCTCCTGCCTGGACTTAAAGCGAAGATAATGTTCACGGATGCCGAAAGGTAGTTCATTTGCGAAATAAGGGCTAGAGGTGGCGCTCAGCTGAAGCCAGCCGAATGAAGGACAGCAAACTATTTTAATTGGCCCGCCGCACCCAGCAAAGCCGACCCTGCTTCGCCCCCGTTGGCTTTCCGTAATTGCCCGCCTGCCGATGTTCATCGCTGCTGCCCTCTATCAACAGCTACGCTGCTCTCTCTGAGACCTTACACTCACCACAGTATAAGCCTGCCGAGGTGGGTGATAATAAGTCGGGGGCGCGTGCCTCGTCAAGCTGCCAACCCTCCGAAGAGGCTAGCCATGCTTTAGATCGCCGAGGCCCTCATAATCTTTCGCCTGCCAATTGGCTGTGTCAGTCGCCCCTTCAGAAGGTCCGCCACTCTCTCCACGAGCGCCAATTTTCCCTCCTTTCGACTTCGACCTTCGTTCTTATCGTGGAATGCTCCTTCAAGTGACGTGCCGATTAGCACCTGAAGTTTCATTTTCGAATTCCACCTTCTATCTCCGACAGTCGTGGAATGTTCCTTCAAACAAACACAAATATCGAATTTTCTACCCACTCAGGATTTCACGACAGATCATATATCATGTAACGGCGGTCCTGGGATTGCCCCAACCACCACATGCCCACTCCGGCCCCGAGCCCCTTCGCCCTGCGCCGTCACTCACGCAATACTCGTGCCTCCTATGCCCGATGCGTTACCTTCACCACTCATGTAGCAGTCTCCCAAGGCACAATTACTTTTGAATCTGGAAATCAGCACGGGCCGATGCAGGATGGCTTTGAACCCGGTCGTAGACGAGGATAGGCATACCTGTTGCGCCAACTCCCTCGTCGGCGCCATGACCAGTGCTTGGACGCATGGCTTTTTCTCATCAATTCGTTGCAGTATAGCTATAGAAAATGTGGCCGTAATACCGGTTTTCCAGAACTGAGGCTTGCGGCCGATGAGCGCGCTCACGAGCTGTAAAAGAAAGCGTGCGGTACTTGCGTATCCTTAAGGCAAAGTTCAGCGGGCTCAGACCCACCTAATAAGCCCTTAAAGTGGCTAGAAGTGCATGGGACGCAACTGCAGGCGACTCGCCAAAATCCCGCATCGAAATGCGTCACTAAGGCGCTAGGGGCCAAGGACTTTGACACGCTCCACCTGTTGCGACACGCTCCGCCCACCGCTCGATATCTTGTCTGCGTCGCAATATTGATCTGCTATGCTCTCTCTTCTCGGATCTTCTCTACCGCTCTCCCCGCTCACATTATCTCTCATCTCCCTGTCGACCTTCTTCAACTTCTCCGCAGCGTATAGCGGAAGGCTCGTATTTCCTGTGTATTTCATGATATTTTTTTCCTTTTTTCTTCACTGGCGGCGCCCACTCCCACCCTCTTAGCTCAACATATTGGCCGGGGAAATTGCTACACCCGATTGGACCAGCTCTGAATCTTGCTTAAAGGTGGAAAAATGACTCTATGACTCACATGTACAACAGGGAACAATCGCTCGTTGCTGTATAGCCGATGGCTTCTCATAACCGAATGCATACACTCCACGTAGGAGATTTTCCTTGAGATTCATTTCATCGAACGATGATACCACTTGATCGTAATTACCCTGGAAGGGCTAAATTTCAACGACAATTTTAAGTGTGGGCCGGTTGGCTGCGCTATCACGTTGGCATTATAGCGCACAGGCCGCAATTTGTTCCATCCTGCTGCGCCAGGACAACTCGTCCGTATCACTCAACTACTAGACTTCAGTAATTGATCGATCTGATAATTTGGGTCTCAAAATCTCGCTGAGTCCCAAAGGTCTAAAAAAGAGCGGATAGCTTCGCTGGCCTGATGCCAAGGCAAGAGGAACGGAACAGAATGTGTTGCGCGGACGAGTTGTCCGGCCACAGCAGGATGTGGTAATTACGGCCTGTGCGCTCCAATGCCAATGGGATCGCGCCATATGACGCACACCACCGATTGAGCATCAAGTCAGTAATGGCTACCTGCCCACACGATGATAAAGCGAACTGAACTATGAAAGAAGCATTGCACCCCACAAACTCGCTGCTTAGGCAAAAGGGATCGCGACGGGAGGAATTGGGGTTCGTACTCTCCATAAAAAATGCCGGCTTTTGGCCCGTATCCTAATTTGTCAAAAATCCGGAGCTCGGCTACTATTTCTGCCCACTTGACTGCTACGCGCAATCTCATTCCTATAAAAATACGGGCCTATCTAAGTGGAGGGAGAGGGAGGGCATGTGTTGCGAAAGTCTTTGTCACGCCTTTTCCAGTTTTCCTTCTCCTGCAAAGATTGAGCTTGTAGTACACAAAATGCTGCACCATATGCTCCCAACTCTTTGAAATAGACCCAAAAAGACTCACCTCGATGAGACCGTCAGCATCGACGGGCACTGCGGTCGCACCGTGATTCACGTGATTGTCCCTTAAAAATTCGATTTCAGATTGAAGCAGTTAAGTAGGATTAAAATGCCTAGGCTTATCATAGAACGTGAGTGACTGATGCGAAATGAAACGACAGCGAAGAAAAACAGGAAGAAACCGTTGAAGACACTAGATAAAACCGCTTTCCAACGGCAGCGAAGGAAGCAGGCTTGGGAGAAGGGCGTGTTCGAAAGATTTTTCCGAACAGGGCAGTCATGGCTGGCTCCGTGGCACTAGTCGACACAACAATCAACGCACATTATCCAGCTGATTTCATGCCATACGTCACTCACACACCTCCTTCCGCGGTGGGCGGTCATGGTTTCTGCCAGGCGGCTTTAGCTCCAAATACAGCGGGCGGGGGGCGTACTACAGTCCCCTGTTGTCCGCGAGTGCATCACCCTTGTAGTGCAGCTTGATTGATCGTTCATGTCTAGGATTTGGTGAATCCTAGCCTATGAGTGTGTGCACATATGTGTCGTGTCATGGAACTCGTATAATCTAAACCTTTTACCTCTAACACATTTACAATCAATCGATAATGCACATAGGGGAACATCGTACGTTCCTATTACCGTTCCTAGTTGTCCAGTCCGGGGCCATCGGGGCGCTTGCTTGGAGCTATGGCTTGACAGAAGATGGCGGGCTGCCGCGAGGACGGCTAGGAAGACCGTAGAGCTGCTGACTGACGACCGACGACCGACACTGACGCCGCCTGACTGGCATGGCAGGAGCCCTTTTTACACCTGCCCGGAGGCCCCGCCGCATGTGGCCGTTGGCCTTTGGCAGTAACGTGGCGCGCTTTCGCGCAGCTGGCGGGTGGCCGAAAGGTGCTAATTTTTTACCATTGCTCGGTGAACGTAGCGATGCTGCAGGCCTAACAATGGCGACGGCAATCAATATAAAATTAAGCAATAACATAATCTGACCGAAAGCAGTAGTTTCTAAGACAGGCTCAAATCGTCCAGTGAAAACAAGATACAAACATGCAAACTGCAAAGTAAAAGCGAAAACAGAGTTTTGGACGTAGCATAGGGTTGGAGGGCAGGCGACTCAGCCCGATGAGCATGTGAGGCTCGGCAGCAGGTAAGAGGAGCGTTGGCGAGGATGTCTGATGTGTCTGGGTGCTGGGGAACGACTCTAGACAATAAACCTTTCTTTGTCAGTACATCCCCTCTTGCACGTGCTATCGTGGGGAAATGGATATGAGCAATGAAGTTCCATGGTTCGAATTATGCAGTCCTGTGAATCACAGAGATGAATATCGAAATCTAAAAATGTATATGCTCTTCGTACCATTTTTGATCGGGGTCCGTTCTTCGAAAATCAGAAAGTTCTGTGCATAGCAAATTTCTTATTTCTTCCTTTTTTGAAGTCTGCTTCTTTATGAAAATTTACAAACGAAATTCGTAAGGGCAGAAGCAAGAATTGTGGAGTTTTTGTTCGCCAAGGCGGTTAGCCTGCTTACAAAAGAAGCATCCATACTTTGGCTGGCAGGAAGTGACGAGATGAGTCGCTAGTCCCAAGCAGCGCTCGCAGCGACCCTTCTGTTTTAGACGATCGCTGTTGTCTATTCGGTCTGAGTTCGACTAGCGGTGATTCGATGGTGTCGTAGTGGTCTGCGGCATTGACACATCTATAAAGCCTATGTACGGCGGATCGAAGAAAGTTCTTAATACATCGGCAAGTTCGCGCTGCACAAGCCAGTGTTCGCTTGATACAGCACAAAATGATCGCGACCGTCATTACCACAACGTAAAGGAGAACTGAAGTTATGACAATGGCTAGCTTAGGCCAGCAGTGTGGATTCGAAACCATTGAGGAGCAAAAGTTACATGTAATTTGCTCGCAAAACGGACTTGGTTGGCAGCTTAACTGAAATGTAGTGGTTTCGTTTCTTGTTCGCTTCTTTATCGTCACTATGTAAGGGTGGAGGGTGATTTCCGCTGGAAACTGTATGGTCAAATTACTCTCTGGGTTTTGTATCTCCATACAGTGTGCATTCCCACATACCTCTAATTTGTGACCTGATGGAAGTTGAACGGCTGGCTGAAATGAATTAACTATGGTGTTGAAATAGTCAATTCCTAGTAAAACCTCTGGAGAGATATCTCCTTGATGTATGTCGAGGTTCGTTAAGGAGAGTTCGTGTCGTATGTATGATAGATCGTTAGGTGAAAGGGCTTGCAACGAAAATGATGCAGTGAGGATAGATTTCGTGAAAAGTTGAACTTCAATAATGGTACAGTCACCACTCTTGTGTTGATTTTTTCTGCTCTACCCCCGAATGTGGATACTCTAAGGATCTGCGATGAGTGTTGAGGTGTAGGCGTTGAACCGTCCGAAGGAAGAATCAGCTGCTGAATCAAGAAGCGCAATGGTCTTCTCGAACGCGCCAGTACATTCATTTCGAATGAGTACAGCAACAGTCATAAGCCTTGTGGTGAGATGGTGAACGTGGTCGTCAATTTCATCCGATTTTTGAGATTGAAGTACAGTTTTTTGTTCGTTCGATTCGTCTTTGGTAAATGGTGTGGCTGTCGCACAGTTAATGAAACTGACTCGTCTTGCCTGGATGGAGTGGGATCGTGAGGAAGATTTAGACGTTCGTGGTGATGATCTCGAATTTTGTCTATTCTGAGAGGGAGAATGTGTTGGAAGGGGAGAGCTGGCTCTTCCGAAGGGCGCCGTTCTGGTATTGGTTTCGCGCCTTTCGTGAGGGGTGATTCGTGAATCAAATGAATTTGGTGAATGGGATCTGGAACGTGAAGTGGAGTATGTGGACTGATCGCGACCGGAAGCAGAGT